GGGGGGGGGGGGTGCGGAGGCTTAGACGACAGACATTTACTTCCTCACAGCTCTGGGGGCTGGAAGTTCGAGACTGCTTCTGAGGCCTGGCTCTTGAACTTGCAGATGACTGCCCTCCCTCCCCCGCCCCACCCCATGTGTTCACGTGTCTCCCTCCGTACGTGCCTGTGTCCTTTCCCTCTAAGGACACCAGTCATGTTGGATTAGGCCCACCCTGCTGAGCTCGTGTTACCTTCACCACCTCTGCAGAGGCCCTGTCTCCAAATACAGTCCCATTCCGAGGCCCTGCGGGGTAGGATTCCGACAGATGAATTTGGGGGCCACACTCAGTCCACGATACTGGGGTACAGATACATGTCTCCAGATGAGTCCTTTGTTTCTCCCGCTGGCTATGAGAGAGTTCCGGACATTCGTATTTGGCTGATTTGGCCGCAAAATCAGGATGCTGGAGAGCACATGTGTGCACTGTCAGAGCCCCTCGGCCACCCAGGGCAGCGCCGGGCAGCGGCCATCCCGAGAGGCAGGAAGCAAGAAGGGCTGGTCCGGGGTCCCACACCAACACACAGGGACTCATCACCCGCCCCCTGCAGCTACCGACGTGCCCAGGTGCACACGCACACACATACACATGCAACCACACACATCACAGGCACACACACCCTCCGACGGTCATTCTGACTCTGCTGTGGGATGTGGGTTGTGATGGAGCCAGGAGCTAGGAGAAGCTGAGGCAGAAGTGGAGAAGCTGAGGAAGAGACGATACTGTGAGAAAGCCCATTGCCTGTCTAATCTCGGGCCGCCTTACTGATCTGAGCTGGGCGCAAGGCTCCATGCCGTCTGCTCCCCTGATACCAGCGGGTATCTGGGAGCCAAGAGAACCCTAACAACCTCGGTAGACCATCCTCTGTCTGCTTCTCCGTGCACGTCACCCGGCACAGTGTGAGAAGGGAGAATCCCAGAGTCCGCCCATCACGTATTTTTCCCAACTCTTCCAATTTCCACAGCCATGGCCACAGGGTGTCCTGCTCCCCTTAATGGCTCCAGCCCACACAGGGACCAAACTGTTCACTGGTTTCCCCTGAGCACCACTGAGACGAGATGGGGTTTTCAAGAAAAGGACCCAAAGCCAGGTGGCCAAGAGCCACAACCTCCTCGGCTCATGGGCTCAACCCTGGCTCACGTTCAGATCCCGGCCTCATCCAAGATGGCACTGGGGGGGGGGGACACCCGCTCGCAGCCACTCCCGCCCTCCCACTCTGCGTTCTCCCCCTCCTCCGAGCATCTGTGGCTCCCGACTTCCCCAGCAAGGCCCTGCATCCCCGGGGTCAGAGACCGTCCCAGGAAAACCAGGGAGGGGTGGTCAGGGGCTGGTTTCTTTCCATAAGGCCACTCCAGGGTCCCACTGTCCAGCAGCAGGACAGGATCAAGGGTACGTTCCTCACAACGATAACCACCCTGATTTTCATTGGTGTAGGATATTGTAGCCGCCGAACCCCTACTCCGGCGTGATCTCATTTAACACTTCCTCTTCGGCGTCATTTTACCCACGAAGGAACTGAGGCCCAGAGAGGTGAGGCAGCTGGCTGATGGCCACACAGTGGGTAAAATGGCAGTGCCACTGTTGGGACCCTAAGTGCCCTTACGACCCTTAGGACCCCCTACCGCTTGGCCTCCGTCTCGGTGGCGAAACTGTGCTTAAATACAGGCGAGAGGCAAGAGGGGAACAAGGCCACAGGCACAGGAACGGGGCCCAGATTCCTCCAAGTTAATGCACGTCATATCACAGGGCTGACCTCATAAATATGATTAGATCCTGCCGCGTCCACCCAGACCGCCAGGGCCCTGGATGTGACGAACTCTGTATCCTGTTCCCGGCCACAGCAGGTGGAAATAGTGTGAACGAATGAAATATCACCAGTGAAGCGAACAGCTGAATGCTTCGTCTCCTGGCAGACAGCAGCCAAGAGACTGCTGACCCACGCGCACGGGGCCTCCTGCCCTCCACCAGCTAGGAGGCCAGAGCGGGCTTGGGGGAGAGCACTGGACACTGGACGGGCTTGGAGGCAGACAGACCAGGCTCCGGCCCTGGTGTGCCTTGGGACCTGTCTCTGAACCTCAGTTTTGCCATCTTTAAAAAGAGGATCATGGGATCCGCTTCGGAAACATACGGGGACGGGTCCAGCTGAAGGCCCCGCACAGTACTGGGCCCCAGAAGATAGAAGTGGAATCAGCGTGGGGATATGACAGCCACCTATCCATCGGGCTGCCTCATGGCTGTTCACAGTAGGAAACAGCAGCTAGGGGGAAATTCCACTGGGTGGGGTGGCTGTCTCTAAGCAGATGCCCAAGGGGATGGGAGTGGCGGCCTGTCAGGCCTCGATAAGGAGCAGGGGATCTCAAGGCCAGGAAGGCCACTTTGGGCCCCAGAGTGAGTCATTACAGAAGGTTAATGCATACTGTTATCAAACTCACCGAGGACTTAGGGCCCAACCTTCCCTTGCGCCTGGCTTACTTGGCCGCCTCGGAGACTCACCCAGTGAACAGTTCATGGGCTTTGACCACCTGAATCCCTTGCCCTTCGGTCCAGGGACAGGCCCCCTCCTCTCATAGGTCCAATGGTGTTGACATTCTGCGCCCTCCAGGCTGCTGCTTGGACTGCTTCAGGGACGGTGTTTGACCAAACCAAGATAACCATAGCCACTGACAGTGCTGGGACTTTCGACCAAGATCTTGGGGCAGTGGACTCCCCTGTCCCCGAGGGACTTGGACTGCAAGTTTACGGCACCGCAGGGGAGGGCCATCTTGTAACCCTCAGGAGACACAGTCAGCCTGGGAAGGTGGCCAAGTCGTAGCGCAAGGTATTGCTGGGAAAATAGACCTCGCTGTGTGATCTGGGAGAAGTCACTAAGCTTCTCTCAGCGTCTATCTCTTCAAACCTCTGAGGATCATAATGAGGGTAACATAAAACAGCACGCATATAGCACCGAGCTCACCGTAGGTTCTCAACAAATGAACCCCCACACTATGGTCCGCCCCATGTAGATCTGCTTGATTACAGGCACATGAAAAAGACACGTGGGGATAGAGAGGAAGGCCATCCTGGCTCCCAAGCATTCAGCCGTGACGGGCTCTGACCCCAGCACATATCTTCTGTTAGTCTTTTCAAGAAGCAAGATGGTAGAGGGGCGCCTGGGTGGCTCCGTTGGGTGAAGCGTCCGACTCTTGATTTCGGCTTGGGTCACGATCTCACGGTTGGTGGGATGGAGTCCCGTGTCGGGCTCTGTGCTGGCAGCGTGGAGCCTGCTTGGGATTCTGTCTCCCGCTCTCTTTGCCCCTCCTCTGTGCTCTAAATAAATAAATAAATAAATATTAGTTTTTTAAAAAGGAAGATGGTAGAATAGGAAGGAGCAAGGGCTTTGGGGTTAGAGACACCTGGGTTTAAGTCCTAGCTCCGCTGTGTGACCTTAGACAAGTCACCTAACCTTTCTTAGCCTTGTTCCCTCATTAGTAAAATAGGGAAGGCAAAGCCAAGGGTAAGAGCGGGTTGCCGTGCACACCGTGATCAACACGGTGCTCAACAAATGAGGGTCATGATTTTCCTAGACCCCAGCAAGGGATCTTCCTCAACATTCAGTCCTTAAGACTCTGTCTCATTCCTGCCTCGCTGAGCTCAGCATGCCTGTGACCTCAAGTCCTTGACCGCCCCCCCCCCCGCCTTTGATGACCACCAAAGCCCTGTGACCAGCCCCGACCTCTCTCCGGAATGCGGACCTCTGGGCATCTCCACCAGAATGTCTCCCAGGCATCCCAGATCCAACGCGAGGTCCTGGCTTGTCCACCGCTCTCCGCGTGATTTGGGTCTCTCGCCTTGGCTTTGGCTTCTTCACTTTCCCGTGAGCAGGTCGGAGTAGATCACTACGGAGCCTCCCTCAGCCCTCACATACCAAGATTCTCAACTCCGCGTCATCTCCCCAGACTAGTCACCTTCCGAGGCGGCACCTCCATCGCCCAATGAACCCCCGGCCTGCAAACTTGGGTTTGTCCGTCTTGTTCGACACGGCCACCAAGTCAGGGAGCGTCTCCTCCAAGCTGTTCCCTATCTCCTCACTCCTCCCCGCTGCCATTACTGTCACACTAGGCCAGAGTCCAGACCCCTCCATCAAGACATGCTGGATGGACTCCATATCCAGGCTCTAGCACTGGCTTCCCCGGTCAGTCCAGCCTCTGCTCCAGCGATCAGTGACGGTCAACCTCTCTCCCAAACAGACTTTGCATAGAGGCCGGCCCTCCTCCCGTCACTGTTAAGAACGGAACTTCCCTGTGGATGATGTCAGGGCCCTGGAGATTCTTTTCAGGTCGGGGATGAGGAAAGGAAACTTTCATGGTGTTCACACTAGATATTCAACAAGTAATTTGCTAAATTAATTCATTCACCCATTCATTCATTCGTGCTTTTCAAAACACACCCTGTAGATGGTCATCTCCGATGCCAGACAGATCATGCCAGAGATCCCTTTGACCGTCTCATAAAAGCTGTGGGCCTTCGTTTCACAAGAACATACCTGCATGTGACTTTCTGCATATAATCTCAGGGCGGTTCCTAGACCACCCCCCCCCCCCAAAGCCCATCTACAGAGTGAAGTTGGCACCTACTTGAGCTCATTTTCCAGATGGGGAGACAGGAATGCAAAGAGAGGAAGGGGCTTGTCAGAAAACACACAGAACACACATCTCCAGGCACTGGATCGTGTCCCGAAAGTGCTGGGCCCCACTCCGGGATCCAGGGCCCCAGGTTCATGGCTTTGGGTAGTGACTTCCCTAACACCTAATGTCTTTGTGTCATTTCCTCGTCCATGCAGACGTGACCAGGCCTGGACAGCAAGTCTGTGATGCGGAGGTGATGTATATACAAGAACCGAGCCCCGCCCTGTGCACAGAGACTGTTCCTGTTTCTTCATCTGCCCACTTCTTCTCTTCCTTTCCTGCAGGATTTTGGAGGACCGAGACAGGGCTTCCATCTAAAGTGGTCGTGGAAGTCTTCACGGAGGAGGCGAGCCCTGCCCGGGCCTCGATTGTGGGTGCTGGAGGGAGGCAGGGGCCAAGGGTTATTAATAGGCCTGGCTTGATGGAACCAGGGAGGGTGAATGTGATACAGACACCCAGCACCGTAGTTGGGAAGTACCTGACACCAGAAGGGGAGGGGGCCGAGGGCTGGGGGCAGCGCCACCTCCCAAAATAGCCAGAGCAGAAGCCTATATAGGTGGCCACCACCCCCCCCCCCCCACCAGGCTCACTTCCCTGCAGGACCTCCCACCGGCCCAGCCTTTCAGCGAAGGTTCCAGCCCTCCACCCCCACCCGAGGTGAGTGGCAGGGACTGAGGTTGGAGGAGGACGTGGGGGGGGGGGCTACCGTGGGGAGGAAGCCAGCTGGATGGGACAGCCACATTGCCCCTTCCCACAGCCACACGGAGCTGGGAGGGGGGTGCTGGAAGGTCCGCCGTTGTGGAGTCCAGGGCTGCGAGTACGAATTCCTGGGCTCTCCAGCCTAATGCTTGGTGTGGCCTGGGGCAGAGCCCTCCCCGTGGCCGGGCCTCAGGCTCCCCACCTGTGGGATGAGATGGGTGGAGCCAGACGTCTGCAGACTCTGGTGATGCCATCAGAGGAGGCCCATGAGTGGGCAGTGGAGGCAGGAGGAAGGGGATGGAGGGCTGGCAATAACATCTGGTGCTCTGGCGGGTGGGAAATGGCCCAGAGAGGGTGTCAGGTTGTTGGAAGGCTTGTCTAGCAGGCAGAGATAGGGGAAAGGAGGGAGGATGGGCCTGCCCAGTGGCTCCAGCCTTTGCCACAGGGGTCAGTGTTTGGGCGTGGTCTGTGGCACACTCGTGGGACTTGACAGGGCTGGGTCCTGGGCAACGGGGAGGGGCTCCAAGGACAAGGGTCACTGAATTCCAAGCCAGCAGATCCGGGAGGGGCTCCCTCTCTGCCACTGCCTTGCTGTGCGTCCTTCGGCCATTCACTGACTTGCTCTGGCCTCAGTCTCCCCACCAGCATAGCATGAGGCTCCTTCAGCTAGGGAAACAGACTCTCCAAATAGGCCCCTGGAGTGAGCTGAGCCTGAGGGCCGAAATGATAGCACAGAAGCCCAGCACGTCCACATTAACAGCTCGTCTGGGGGCAGGGATGGCGGGGGCAGTTGAGGGGTCCCCGAGAGACAGCATGTCGGGAGCTGCAGCCTCTGCTCCTGGGAAGCCGGCTGGAGGGCTGTCGACTGAAGGAGCTGACTCACAGGCAGGGGGCAGCCGGAGCGGTGTCGTCCTAAGGTTTCCAGGAAGGGCAGCCGTCCAGGGCTGAGCCGAGGGAGACGGTGTTGACAGCCAACGTGCCGGAACTCCAGCAGCTGGACAGCTCTCCCCGGCCGCCCACCAAGTGGCACCAGCCTCAGCCTCTGAACACCCGCCTACACCTTCCGCCGGAGTCTAAAGATCCCACCACAAGGGACCATCAATACCACCAACACAGGGAGACAGAACACCAGAAAAGGGGAAGGTCACTGCCCAAGGTCACACAGGCACTCAGCACAGCCGCAGATCCGGAACCCAGGCATCCTGACTCCCCGTCCAGCATTCCTCACACTCTAGAGGGAGCTGGTTGCAGCCCGAATCCTTGGGAGACTGTGGGAAAGAACGCAACTGGTCTCTGGCTACCTACGATTGGGAAGTGTCCACATTTCCCAGAGGTGAAGTTCAAGCCATAAAACCTGCTTCGCTTGTCTCCAAAGTGTGGTCCGAAGGTAACCACCTTCTCCCCAAATGTGAGTCTTCTGGTCTCCAAGTGGGGACAGGGGACATAAAGATTTCAAGTAGCCTCTCCCCGCCCCACCCTCTCCCAAAGGGTCTGCGGGGGCAGCAGTCTGAGCCCCCACTGTACTCCCATGTTCAGTGGCTCAGGAGACCAGAGAAGCCGAGTAGTTAGTGGAGATCTGAAAGCAGTTCTTGGGAAAGTCGGACTAGGAAAGAAAGAAGGAGAAGAAGGTTTCAGGGCATCCCTGGCCAGACGTGGGATGGGGCACCGGGAGGAGGGCCTGAGCAGCCCCGCCCATCCCTGCTACCTCCTCCCGGCCATCCCCTGTGGGGTCAGATTTCCAGACCTCAGCGCTCAGATTTTGCAGCATAAATTTGCATCCAGGACAGACAGGAGCAGAGGCTGAGGTAGGAGCGGAGACAGAATGGGAGCAGGGCCGAGGGACCCACCGGGGTTTGGGCTCGGCCCCCGACAGTCCCGTATCCTCCCCGAGGTGGCGGGACAGCCTCCGAGGTGCACCGACCCGAGACGCTGCGCTGCACCAGGCTGGCGCCTCCTGCGCGCCCTTGACGGCAGGAGAACCCTCCAGCCCCATAAATTCCAGAGGTCGCCCCCTCCCCGGGCACCCTGGCCGCGCGGCCCCCTGGGATCGCGAGGACCCCGGCGGGGGCGGTGCGGGAGCGACAGCGGGTCCGCGCGTCTGCCCGGCCAGCGCGGCGGCGGGACTGAGCGGCTCCGGCTGCGCGCCCAGCCCCGCGCCCCCTGGCTCTGCGCCAGGCCGGCGGGCGTGCGCCCGGCGCGCAGCACTGCAGCGCTGGTCATATGAGCAGAAATGATAAG